CTTAGGGGGGATGCAGACCGGGGCGTCGGAGACGCCCCGGTCCGGAGCGCCGCGGGGCTATGGCAGCCCCACCGCGGCGCCTCCCCGGCGACCCTGAAAGGAGCGCCAAAAAGGCACTCCTTTCATAAGTCGCAAAAAGGGCGCCCTAAAAGCGGCGGGCGCCCTTTTTGCGACTTATCCTCCACAGCGCGTCCGGACGCTGTGGAGGGAGGTCGCCCTGAACGCGTCCGGCGTGCGGTGACCCGGAAGCGTTCAGGGCGACCTCAGGAAGAGGAAGGGCCGCCGCGCGTGCGGTGGCCCCTCCTCTTCCTGGCCTCGGAGACGGCTCAATTGAGCTGTCTGCCGAGGCCTTTAGTTCAAGGGCCTCGGCAGATGGCTAATTGGGCCGTCTTGGAGGCAGAGAAGAGGAGGGGCAGCCGCATGCTCAGTGCCCCTTCCTCCTCCCGAGGTTGTCCTTGGAGCAGCCGGCCCTCCGCACAGCCGGCGCTCCGAGGGCAGCCTCCCGCTGAAGCATCCGCACATGATGCGGCGGATAAGTCAGTGAAAGTGCGCCCTACGCTTTTGGGGCACACTTTCACTGACTTCTGAAAGGAGCGCTGATTTAGCGCTCCTTTCAGGGGCGCCGACGGTGCACTGTGATGCGGATGCCGCGGTCCCGCGGCGCACCGTCCCGCGGCATCCCAGACGCCCTCGTCTGCTTCCCCTACAAGTCTTCATGCTCTTTTCTCATTACATTTTGTTAAGTATTCATCTAAAAATATGAAGGGTGAATATGACAAATATGTGTACCTCTTTCTGGGTTCTATGGGGCCAGCCCTAACTGAATATTGGAAACACAATAATTTAGGTCCCAATATATTGTATTAACAATAGTACAACAGGTAGTACAACAGGTTATATATACTATGAGACATATGCACTGTCCCCAAAGTTCCTGCATCCAGTGAAGTGCCAGTGCAGGACTTTACTGCAGGACTCTTTTGCTGCATAGTATAACCACATTTGGATGCACTCTGAAAGCCCTAAATAAATAAATAAATAAAAAACACCACACACAATAGATGCAAATAGAATATAGAAACTACACTACAAAGAAGCTATAAATTTTGTTCCTTACTAAAAACATAACTGAAAATACCACTACCTTATTCAAGATGAATAAACCCTGGCAACTGTAGCTCCGTGCCAGCTCCAGCTGCCCTTCTCTTTCTGAATTTAGCAGGCAACTACAGTCCCTTTCTTAGGGTTTCCTCACCCATGAGGCCAAACCAATGTTTCATAAGTGTTACATATGCACTGAGCTAGTATTGTAGTGGTTTCAGTAGGGCTATGACTTTGGAGACCAGGGTTTGAATCACTGCTCAGCCATGGCTATCCACTGTCACATTCTCTCAGCCTCAGAGGAAGGCAAAGGCCTCTGAAGAAATAATGCCACAAAAGCCACATGACAGATTTGACTCAGGATCACCATAAATCAGAAATGACTTGGAGGCACACAACAACAACCAATTTATGCACTAGAAAATACCAAAGCTGTCTCCATCCCATAACCAGGCCTGATCTAGATCAGGGGTAGGCAACCTAAGGCCCGGGGGCTGGATGCGCCCCCCCAAGGCCTTTGGACCGGCCCCAGGCCGGTCCTGCCACTGCCACTGCCGCCCACCATGATAATATTGATTATCTCCACAGGGGTTTTGCCATGGCTTTTCTGGGGCTGAGAGAGTGTGCATGCATATATTTAATTTTTTAAAATATTTATTTATTTATTTATTTATTTATTTTTGGTGCTTCGCCCCCCCAATTGTCTGAGGGACAGCAACCCGGTCCCCGGCTCAAAAAGGTTGCCTACCCCTGATCTAGATAATCTGTCTCATCCAGAAACCCTGGATCTGGAAGGCCATCACATGCTCCAAAACCTTGTCCCCAAATAGAATGTTACAGACTGACTATAATTATACAGAATGGTAGGATCCAAAGATACTTAAAAAAAAAAAAAAAAACAACGGCCTCACCACAGCCTTTTTAAGGCAGGATGGAAATCTACCTTGCTGCAGTGAGGAATTCACCACTCCCTTTTAACCACTAAGACAGTCCCCCTCTAGCTGCTTTCAGAACCCAGGAAGGGCAAGGATTCAAGATGCATGTGGTACCCCTGACTTCTCCAAGGATCTCGTCCACATCCTCAGACTGCACAAACTGAAATGTATCCAGTAATACAGGACAAGCAGGTACCAACATTACACTAATGTGACCTATTTCAACCATAGCATCCATGTCAGAGCAAATCTGAGTGATTTCATCTGCAAAGTGTCTTGGAAATTTGTCACAGCGGCTGTTGAGTGGTCTTTGTTTTCTTCTTGTGGGCCAGATTTAAAAGCCCCTGACTAGTTGTTACAGCTCTGCAGATGCAATGGTGGAGGTATAATTTCTTCACTGCCACCATTGCCATGGCATAGGCCTTCCAATGAGGTCTAGCCTGTGTTTGGTTGCATTTGCTCAGAGTCTTCCACCATCATTGCTATAATTTCTTTCCCACTGATTTCATTTCTGCCAGTTCCCTAGTGAACGCAGTGAGTGGGCCTGCTTGGCTCTACTTCACGGAGGGGACACTTAGGGGCAATTGTGTCCACCAATCTGGCCATTTCCCTATTCCAGAGATCAGCCAGGACTTCAACACCTGCTAAGGCAATGGAGAGCTCCCCAAGAATCCATCTGGGTCCATATGTTTTCTGGGGTGGACCATCTTAATCATTCCCCCATCCCTGCAGAAGTCCCGAGTCCAGTGAGTGTAAACCCCACCAAGTAGTAATTAGTCCAAGAAAACAGAACTACAGACATTTCCTCCACACCCAGATCACTGTCATCCCAGCCAGAACAGAAAACCAGGTCCAGAGTGTGTCCTGAAGCATGGATGGCACCAGATATTACTTGGGACAGCCCCATGGTTGTCATGGCAGACATGAAGTCCTGAGCTGCTCCTGACAGAGCAGTCTCCACATATATATTGGAATCCCTTAGTACAATAGTACTATAAGCAGAAGGACTTCAGCACTACTGCCAAGATAAATGCAGCCAGCTCCTGAGCTGGAAAGGTGACTGGTGAGCAGCAGGGTGGGCAGTACACCAACAGAATTCCTATTCTGTCCCTGCCACCCACCTTCAAAAACACAGAACTGAACCCAGCAGACTGTGGGACAGGGCTCCTGGTAAAGGAGATAGAATCTCGATAGACCACTGCTATTCTGCCTCCCTATTCCCCAAACCTTGCCTGCTGCTGTATAGAGGACCCAAGTAGACACAGCTGGGAATGGTTAACCAGCTTCCAACCATCCAAGTCTCCATAATACTTAACACAGGTCAGTATCCCCATCCAGAATTAAGTCCTGGATCAAGGATGTTTTCCATTCACTGTGTAGTGGTCTATCCATGTATCTACATTAGCCTTTAAGCAGTTTTTTAGAAATTATTTAGTTTTTGAAGAAATATCTAAGGGCAGAGTCAATTCTCATTAACATTGATAAGAAAAGAAACTCCAAGTTTTACTTTAATTGGAATGAAGTGGGACTTTAATAATTTTTTGCTATTCTTTGATGCACAGCAAGCTAGCTGTCTTCCAGAAATAGGTACAGTTGCCCCTCCGTTTTTGTGATCTTCGAGTCCACGGTCTCGGTCCTTCACAGACTGGCAAGTCCCACTGGTTAAAATGGGGCATGCAGGGACCCTCCTCTATTCCGGAACCCCCCCCCCCCGTGAAAATGGAAAATTGCAGATATTCAAGCTCCATCGGCTTGAATGATCATATGCTCCTGCGCACAGCCCTGCATGTGCGCCGCAAGCGTGGGTGCCATTTTAACCAATGGGGCTTGCCGGTCCATGAAGGACCAAGACTGTGGACTCAAAAGTCCCCAAAATGGAGGGGCAACTGTACTTTACAAGCAACAAAATCCACTGGGGAAGATTCATTGGGAATCACAAACAAGTAAATAAAATGAGAGGGAGTGAATGGAAGGATGAAGGGGGACCCATAAGGAGTGAATGAGCAAATCTTTGCTAATGATAATTTACAATTAAAATTAGGTGCATCTAATACACTACTAGGACTGCACACTGAGTAATCAGCTTAATCAGTAGATTAATCAACTAAAGTTTTACACAATTAGTCAGTGGGAAGTGATTTTGACTGACAAGGAAAATGTTTAATTAATGAGGGCTGAGTTGTGGGCACACTTGTTTGATTTTGTGGGCATATTTGTTTTTTGATTCAAGCATATTACTGAAAAGAATTAACAAGTAGACTGGTACTAGATGGCTCCTCTTAAAACACAGTGGTAGCCTTCAGGGGCTCAATTTTGCATTTTAGTCAGTATCTCAAAAACAATATTACATAGACAGGATAATACATATAACACATTAATGGTAAGAGGCTTTCTCTCTCACATTTTCTGAAAACATGTTTAATTCCCTTATGAAAGTATGTTGTTGTTGTTGTTGCTGTTGTTGTGTGCCTTCAAGTCATTTCCAAATTATGGCAACTCTAAGGTGAACCCATCACAGGATTTTCTTAGCAAGATTTTTTAGAGGGGGTTTGCCATTGCCCTCCTCTGAAACTAAAGGCCTCGGCAGACGGCTCAATTGAGCCGTCTCCGAGGCCAGGAAGAGGAGGGGCCACCGCACGCGCGGCGGCCCTTCCTCTTCCTGAGGTCGCCCTGAACGCTTCCGGGTCACCGCACGCCGGACGCGTTCAGGGCGACCTCCCTCCACAGCGTCCGGACGCGCTGTGGAGGATAAGTCGCAAAAAGGGCGCCCGCCGCTTTTAGGGCACTCTTTTTGCGACTTATGAAAGGAGTGCCTTTTTGGTGCTCCTTTCAGGGCCGCTGGGGAGGCGCCGCGGTGAGGCTGCCATAGCCCCGCGGCGCTCCGGACCGGGGCGTCTCCGATGCCCCGGTCTGCATCCCCCCTGAGAGAGTGTGACTTACCCAAAGTCACCCTGTGGATTTCCATGGCCAAGCAGGGATTTGAACCCTGATTTTCAGAGTCATAATCAGATGCCCAAACCACTACAATACACTGACACTTGCATTAAAATTGCACCCCCTTGGAAGTAATATTTGATTGGGCCATAGATAGTTCCTATGATCTCTTTTAACAAAATATTACCAAATTGTGAGTCTGTCTATACTGAGTCTGGCTATACTTAATCAATTAAAATTTCTTTATTTGACTAACATCCCTTATTGAAATATGTTTTGTTTTAACTTAAAAAATTGACACCTCATGTACCAATGACAAATACAAAAGGTCTGACCTTTTAAAGGAGCCATTCATTCTTGTAAATGTTACTTCACCCTTCTTAGCCGCAGAACTTGCAGAGTTGGTGAACTCGTGAACTTTATTTATCACTGATAGATGTTCAGCCTTTTCCACAGCAATATTTTATGCAGTCATTAAAAAAAAAGAAATCATTGCATTCCCTTACTTCACAGAGTCAGATCATCCATGCATATCCTGTTATTATGCAATGTCTTCAATGACAAATAGAAAAATTACATTCCTAGCATGAACTATGCTATTCAAGGATAATCCTGACTCTGTTCCATTATATGCAAGACCTTTTTTTTAAAAAAAGATTCATTTTTCTAGGTCTCAGCACTGTTACGGAGAACCTGTTTTGCAAATACATCATCCCTATTTCCATGCTGCACCACCTATACATATGGGTACCCTTGCTGTATAAATAACCCATTAATTAATTCTTCTAGGGAGGCAGTGCTGCTGAGCCAGCAATACACTGGATGTGAGGTACAATTAATTAGGGCAGAACGGTCCACTAGCTAATGTCTATATTATCAGCACTCTACTTAATCCTGGATGAAGAACATGCACACAGCTTAGTGACAGAACATATGCTGAAGGTTCCAGATTGAATTCATGGTATTGCCAATTTTGTTTTAATTTTTCTTTTGTTTGCTTTTGTTTTACAGGCTATTGGGTGCTAGAACTAGTCAGAACAAACAGTACAGTGTTTAGAAAGAACAAAGATCTGGCTTAATGTAAAACTGCTTCACTTGTTTAGCTGCAGAAACTCAAAGAGTTCAAAGAAATCTTAGACTGCCTATTACAAACTCCTTGTGCATAAGGACCATTAATCACATTCTGCGATTGGTAGGGTAAACAGCTCAAAACAAGACCAAGAGTTAAAATAGTAACAATAGTTCAAGAAATATATACAGTACTAAAATCTAGGAAAATAAAAGAGATCTTCTCATGTCCCTTAAAATAGCACAACGTGAGCCCCAAGAAAGTCTCTCTGGATAAGGTCTTCTACAACCGGCACACCACCACTGCAAAGGCCCTGCTACTGTTAGTGAGACACTTACAGAGAGTCCCCTGAAGATGAACTTTAAATTATCCGGAGTACCTGAACTTAATTTAGTTACATCAGGTGCAGAAATCTTCATGAGCCAGAACTGAGCAAATAATGTACAACAAAATAGTATCATGTCAGTCAGTCAGTATGTACAACAAACTAGCAGTAGTGGTAGCCAGCCAAAAAGCCACCTTTTTACTGTCAATATATTTATTCATTAAATGTATCCAGCATTTTCACCAAAAATGGCACTCAGAAGTGGCTAACAAATTAATAAAATGGATTGTAAAAACATTCTTGATTAAAGGAAACAGAAAAACAAATCAGCTAACACATCTTGAGATCCTGATGACCAAAAATCAGGCTAAAAATTGAATGAAGGAATTAATTGGCCATTGCCCTAACACTTTAATCAAGCTCAATGATTATTCATCTTCATTCATAAGAAATGAATTTCTCTTTCCAAAAGCGGTGTGGAAGACAGTTTTTCCTATTACTATTTTGTGTGCATATCTGACACACATGGTGAGTAAAAATATGAAATCATCAGGTGGAACAGCTTTTATTACATGGCCCGATCAAAGCTGAAAGGTAGCAAAACACATGACCACTGGCTGTAGAATAAAGTAGTTGATGGGAGCACCAAGTTTGACTCTAGTTAAGGTATAGTTGGTCCTCTATATTAATAGATTTCTTGTCCATGGATTCAGTTGAAAATATTTTTTAAGATATATAAATCCCCCAAAACAACCTTGATCTTGCCATTTTATATACGGGATACCATTTTGCTGTGCCTTGTATGTAATCCACAGAATTTGGTATCCATAGGGGATCCTGGAACCAAACCCCAGTGGATACCAAGGGCCTACTGGACTAGAGTACTGGACTGGATTATGTAATGAAAACTAAATAATAACCCATGTCCTATTAAAACTCCCCTAGATGTTGTTAGACTATAGCTGCATTCTCACTGCACAAATAATCCAGTCTGACACAATTTTAACTACCATGGCTCAGTGCTATGGAGTTCTGGGGGTTGTAATTTGTTGTGGCACCAGAGTTCTCTGACAAGAGAAGGCTAAATAGCTCACAAAATTACAAACCTCGGAATTCCATAGCATTGAGACATGGCAGTTAAAGTGGTGTCAAACTGGATTATTTCTGCAGTAAGGATACAGCCTACATTATTTTTAAAAAACCTTCCTTCTTACTTTCATCCTGTTTACTCCAGTTATAAAGTTATCCAACTCATCCTTGCTCTGTTTAGCACCAACTCATTTCCTTGAAACTTCTCTGGCAATCATTCTTTTCCTTCCCTCCACCCAGCTGTCTCTGAATTAGCAATTTGTACACTATATGTGTGTGTGTGTGTGCATGTGCACACACACATGCACTCATGCAACTCCTTCAAGTTGTCTAATGAGTCATGTTTGACCGCATGAATTTTATAGGGTTTTTTAAGGCAAGGAATATTCAGAGGTGGTTTTGCCAGTTTCTTTCTCTGAAATTGAGACTACAGCACTTGGCTGTCTCCCATCAACACACTGACCAGAGCTGACCCTGCTTAGCTTCTAAGAACAGATGGGATCTGGTGCCTTTAGGGCATTTAGGCATGCATACAATATCTATATGTATTTCTATATCTTCATTCATTCATGGCTGCCTGCTTTGTATAGCTCAAACTACCAAAAATACAACAGTTGTTTAGCCAGTGGTGAATAGATAATTTTCCAGTGGTTGCTGTCTTTGGAAATTTTTCATTTCACTTCTAAATTGTTTACTTATCAGCTAGAAATGTGTGAAAAGAAGTTACAGCTATGTTGCCCAAGGTGCATTTTAATATAGGAGGAAGAGCTGCAACATAAGTATTTTATGCTACTTCTTCTAGCCTTATCTACCATTGTAAATTATAAGTCTGCTCTACTGAGCAGAATAAAGATAAATCTGAACCATGCTTATTAAAAGATGCAGATTTTTCACTTTGAAATAAAGAGTCTGCCCAATTCTTTAGTAGCTGATTACATCCTTCCCTACTCAAAAAGTGGCAAAAGCAAAGGAAACCAAATCATCATTGTTCTTTAAAGGATTTAGGCAACTGTATCATTGTAAGAAGCTGTATGTGTGAACTGTTTATGTATGTATGTATGTATGTATGTATGCATGTGTTGTATTAAAATATTTATATCCTGCTCTGTATCCAAAGATCTCAGCAGGGGTTACAGGCAATAAAACAACCTTCTCCAGTTTAAAACACTTTACAACAGTTCATAGTAAGGCAAAATTCTCCAATCCAGTTAAGGAAGGATCATTGAGTGCTAAAACTTGGAGCTGAAAGTTGCTAAGGGGAGGACATTCCACAGCTAGGGTTCTTCATCAGGCAAAATTCCTCTGTGTTTGCATCCACTTTGAGCCAGTAATCCTAGTTTAATAAACTAGATATATGTAACAGCCATATGTTGTTTTCACTTTGCATGAAGTATGCTTTTTTTCCACTTGCCCATTTGTACAAGCATGTAGACAAATCAGGAAAGAGAAAGCTTTGTGAAACATTGGGATCATTCACACTAGGAAATAACCTGGTGTAGAAACCAGGTTATTCCCATGGCATTCACACTTTCCCTGACTCAATGTAGTTTTTGGTGCATTTCAGCACAACCCCCTCCCCCACTTTACTCGGTGTATTTTTCACCAAGTCATCTATCACGTCTTTTTTGAGCCCCTACAATGGTCCAGATCTTTGGTAGTGAGAAGTCACTACTGGAGAGATCCAGATCATGCGGGAAATCTTTTTGAAAATGGAGATGCCTCCATTTCCAGAACGATCTGCTGCATCTTCCTCCTCCCCCCTCCCCCCTCTTGACATGATCAAATCTCCCTATCACCATTCCCCAAGTATGAACAGCAATAGGCATAAAATGCCACAGAGAAATTTGATCATGGCAAATATATGGAAATACCCAGACTTCCACATCAGGTTTACTAGTGCAAATGGGCCCATTGATAGAATCACAGATTGGAAGAGACCACAAGGGCCATCCAGTTCAGCCCCTTACAATGCAGGAATACATAATCAAACCTCCAAAGGAGACTCCAGTACTCTCTGAGGCAGTGTAACAGCTCTTACTGTCAAGAAATTATTCCTAATGTTTAGGTGAAATCTCTTTTCCTGTAGTTGGCATCCATTGTTCCATGTCCTAGTCTCTGGAGCAGCAAAAACAAAACAAAACAACAAAACAAAACAACAAAACAAAACAAAATAAGCTTGCTCCATCCTTAATATGACATCCTTTCAAATATTTAAACAGTGCTATCATATAACTTCTTAATCTTCTCCTGTCACTAAGCTGCTCCTCTGAGGGCATGGTTTCCAGACCTTTCACCATTTTGGCTGCCCTCCTCTGGACACGCTCCACCTTGTCTACATCCTCTTTGAATTGTGGTGCCCAGAACTGGACACAGTTTTCCAGATGCAGGCTGACCAAAGTAGTTTTGTGGTACTATTACTTCCCTTGACCTAGATACTATACTCCTGTTGAAGCACTCTAGAATTGCATTGGCTTTTTTAGTTGCTGCATCACATTGCTGACTCCCAATGTGGGATAAAGGTGGGATATAAATTCTTTAAATAAATAAATAAATAAATATGCATTTCATTTTTACTGCCCAAGTGTAGTATCCTACATTTATCCCTGTTGAAATTCATGT